GGAGATTGGAAGCTATATTAGATTTTTATCATATTAGAGAGTTTATGAACAGAAATGCTCTGTTTTCTTTCCGAGCATTGGAGAAACCAAAAAAAAACAGAGTTAGAAAGAGAAGAAAGTGGAGGAACTGTCTATTATCTTTCGCGTGGTTGGAGAAAAATAGATTCGGTTTGTTTCTATTATAAATGGACATGGATTTTGGGAGATAAGATGTCTGAATCAAGAGAAGTTTTTTTTTTTCCTACCAATCCAATCTTGGGAATGAAAAAAACCAGAGTTGTACGAAAGCAGGACATGTCAAGAGTTGTTTTATAGATTTAATATTTCACGTGGTTGGAGAAAACTAGATTAATTAGGGAATTCCATAAAGAAGGTAGACATGAGTTTTTTGGGAGATTGAAATGTTTGGGGGCAATACCAAAAAGTATGAGAACGACACTGTTTATTCTTCTTTTCAAAAGTTGAATAAGAAAAAAAGGAAAAGATTGTAGAGACAGGACAGCTCAGGGAAAGAGGCAAGACAAGAGTAACATGGAGTTCATGTGGTTACGTGAGAGACATGTCTTAGTCTTTGCTCTAGGCAAATTGTCCTAACGACTACTCTTATTTTTTTCTCGTTTTGATCAAGTCATCATTTTTGTCACATTGAATCTCTTTCACAGAACATGCAAGCTTTCTCCTACTTGACAAGGACAACTTGCTCTCTCTCTCTCTCCGTAATTGTAAGACCTAAATGAGGAAAAGTCTTAAAGTCTTAGAGGAGTCGAGACAATATTAATGCTGAAGACTTTGAGATCAAAGGATGGTTGAAGAGTAATGAATAACGCTGCAGAATTTGCTGTTTCTTGAGCAGTACGTTACTTTTTTTTAAATGTAATTTAGGGTTTACAGGACCATACATTGCTATGTTAAAGAATCATGAACTGAATTGAGTGAGAAACTAAAATGGGTCATTCGTGTTTGTTGCCCTTTACTACCATAATAGATAAGATTCGATTGCTGACAACGCAAAAATGTAACGTATTAAAAAAACGTGTATTTACATACTAAAATGTTTATATGCGTAAATGAAATATTTTAACACGAAGACAAATCACACAAATAAACAATCATCTATAATCTCTGCAAAACTTAAAGTTGTGGGTTTCAAGTTTTCGTGACAACGTGACCTCATGTTTACTCATACAAGACGATTATGTAATGAGCATGATCAACATTTAGCTTAAAATGTCCTCCAAATGGTGTCTTTCTATTTCAAGTTGTATTCATTCTCCTCTTTGGTTAACTTCTCACTTGTATAACTATCAATGTTCATATGTATACTATATAACATGGTTACTTGGTTAGTAAATATAAAGATAATGGTCACATACTCTATAAGGGGAAGCTTTGTGTTCTTGGGTTTCATATTTACAATGTGTTTCTCAGAGATTTGTTTGAATGGATATATACTGGAACACAATCATAAGCTAAAAGGTAATAATAATTGCATGATTTGGACTCAACTATACATTCGACTATGCACTTAACCAAATAAAATGCAATTTAAATGAATTAAGTACATTGTTACAAAAAAGAAAGAATGAATAAGTACATACACTTCGTACTTCTTAG